GTAGTTAGTAGTTAGTAGTTAGTAGTTAGTAGTTAGTAGTTAGTAGTAGTAGGTAGTAGGTAGTAGGTAGTAGGTAGTAGGTAGTAGTTAGTAGTTAGTAGTTAGTAGTTAGTAGTTAGTAGCAAGTGGCAAGTAGCAAGTGGCAAGTAGCAAGTAGCAAGTAGGTAGCAGGTAGCAGGTAGCAGGGAGCAGGGAGCAGGTAGTAGTAGTAGTAGTAGTAAGGTAGTAGTAGTAGTAGTAGTAGTAGTAGTAGTAGTAGTAAGGTAGTAGTAGTAAGGTAGTAGTAGTAGTAGTAGTAAACGTTGACGTTGACGTTGACGTCAACGTTGACGTAGGCCAATAGAGATCTAAGCTTTGATTCTTTTCTAGGGCCCCAAGTTGGGACGCACCCCCCTTGCATAATTCTTTGGCGCAACAGTTGTTTTTGAAAAAACGGCTTGTTTGATCAGAGTCAAGCAACCCTTAGGAAGGGTTTGAAAGCGAAGCAGTAGCAGAACAACAGAACGCCAAATCAATAAACAAAGTAACGAGCTTGATTTGAAAAAACGTCCTGTGCGTTTTTCTTTCTCACCCACCACAAACTATTCAAGATGTGGCAAAAAACTTGGGAGCATTTTCACCAGAATAGAGGGCGCGATTGGTTATCGGAAGAGGTGCTTTGTAGCCTGCGCGCTGTTGCTGTGGCAGGGTGCCACTCCAGAGTGCTGCTGCGGGATGTTTGGAGTTTTGCTGCTGCTGCTGTGTGCGCTTTGGAGTTTGGGTGCTGATGCTGCAGGGTGGCTGCAAGGCATTGCTGCCAAATGTCTATGGCAGTGTGCGCTTTGGGTCTTGGGTGCTGGTGCTGCACGGTGCCGGTGCTGCTGCCAGATGTTGATGGCAGCCTGCGGTTTTGGAGGCTAGGTGCTGGTGCCGCTGCTAGGTGTCTATGCCAGGGCCTATGCTAGGGTAATTGTTGTTTTTCGCCCTTAACATAAGTATGTGAATGTCCACTACGAAATGGGGAGGGAGGGTTCAGGTACCTTAGGTACCTTATAAAACGGCTCATGCCCCCCCATGCGTGACGTCGAACCCCCCATTTCATAGTGAAAACAGGTTTGTTAGCAGACTGTTTCAAAAGTTGTATATAGATGTTCCAAGCGGGTGAAGATAGAGGCATGTTTGGGGAGTGTGAGATGCTTGCTTCAGTTCATTTACAGGTTTGTTCACAGTTATATGGCTATATAATGTTATATATATTCACATATGTAATTGTAATCGCATATATATTTATATATATATACATGATATGCATCGATTAGCAATGACTAGCTATGATTAACCTATTTCACCAGTCTCCTCCACTGGCCAGCACTATGCCAAGCCCCAGCCTTTGGAGCATGACCTCTCCAACCATCCTCAAGAGCCCAATAAAATGCTTCTCCCAACCTCCTGAAGCCTAATAACATAGTATATCCAAGCAATTTCTTCACTGTACCCTTCGAGTCCCACCCTTTACCCCTCTCCTCCACTGGGCCAGCACTATGCCAGACCCCAGCCTCTTCCAGCCTCTTTAAAATGACCCCTCCCAACCTTCCCCTCAGGCCTCAGCCTCTATAAAATGATTCTCGCAGTCGCAACCCCCTAAAGCGCTATAAACATGTATGCCCAAGCACTTCGTTCCTTGCAGCCTTCTTTTCGCTTACCATTTAACTCGATGAGTGTCTAAATCTAGGCAGATACGTCTCTAGCCAAACTTGGCATGTGGTCTGACAGTTTGTGGAAAAAGTCCGCTCATCCTGAATATTCCAAATTTGAGACGTCTATCAACAGAGGCTTGAGACGTCTATAGCATCTATCCCCTCATTTCATAGAAACCAAAAAACCTGACACCTGTCAATTTATTCACGGTCAGAGGTTGCCCTAACCAATTCATTTCTATGAAATGAGGGGGTAGGACCCGCCCCCAGAATTCACACCACTATCCCCTAACTATTTTTACGAATCTTTCCCTGAAGGAAGGATCCCATATGGTTGATTTCTTTGCAGCTTAGGACGTGGTT